CTTGAGCCCAGGAGTTTGAGGTTGCTGTGAGCTAGGCTGATGCCACGGCACTCTAGCCTGGGCAACAGAGCGAGACTCTGTCTCCAAAAAAAAAAAAGAGAGAGAGAGCGAGGGGCAGACCAGGCAGGAGGAGGTGGTGGAGACAGTTGGACCCAGGGTCAGACATGGAGAGATGTGGAGATCAGAGCAGATAAAGACCTGAGGGAAGGATCGTGTGGGGTGACAGGGAGGAGAAGACAAGGGACACCTCACACCCTCAAGGTTAGCCATTAACCTTGGGCTCAGATGTCTGCTCTGGGGAAAAGCAGCCGACTTGCGCATGTATTTCGGAGTTAGATTCTAGATTCTGGCTCGAGGGCCTGGACGGGAGAGTGACTTCACGGAGATGGGGACGGCGAGGAGGAATGTTTGTCGTTCTCTGCTTGTGACTGTCCACTGATGTCTGCGTCCCCCGACAGCCCTGGAGAGCCCCCAACCGAGTGGGCAAGGGGCTGGAAAAGGTGACAGACTGTACCCCCTCCAGACCTGGACCCCCTCGAGCTCAGCGCCAGGGAGGAGCTTTCCTTGCCCCTGAAAAGCAGCACAGCCGTGAACTGCTCCGTGCGAGGCCTGCCCAGCCCCGCCCTGCGCTGGACCAAGGTGAGAGGGAAGGGAGCCCCCTTGGCCCTCGGACCCTCCGCCTGCTGCCTCCTCTCTTCCGTCCACCCTCGCCCTCTCCCACGGCCTCCTCTTCCTCTCCCCTCCCCAGGACTCGGTGCCCCTGGGGGACGGCCCCACGCTCTCCCTCAGCTCCGTCACCTTCGATTCCGCCGGCACCTACACGTGCGAGGCCTTCATGCCCACCGTGCCCCTCCTCAGTCGCACGCGGAGCTTCGAGCTGCTGGTCCAAGGTGCGGGGGGTCGGGGAGGCTTGGATGGGGACGGTGCCACCACCGGGCCTCTGCCTTCTGCTGTTTCTCTCCTCTCTCCTTATCTCTCCCTCCCTCCTTTCCCTTCCCCTGTGTGCCTGCCTCTCACTCGCTCCTGTCCCCACCACCCCCAGGGTCACCGGAGTTAAAGGCAGAGGAGACCGAGCCCGAGGCAGAGAGCAGCTGGAGGGAAGGAGACGAAGCCACGCTGATCTGCTCTGCCCGCGGCTACCCGGAGCCCAAACTCACCTGGAGCCAGCCGGGCAGCAGCGTAAGGGACCCTCAATACCGCAGGGCCCAGGCACCCTCCCCAGCCCCTCGGGGGACACCCCCTCCCTGATTGCCCACTTCGGGGGGACTGGACATCCTTCATCCCCCACCCTCACCCCAGCCCTGATCCCAGGGCCCGGCCTGACCCAAGCCTCCACAGTCAGCAGAGCCGGTGCCCGGGAGGCAGGGCTGGGTGAGCAGCTCCCTGACCCTGAAAGTGACCAGTGCCCTGAGCCAGGACGGCGTCTCCTGTGAGGCCTCCAACCCCCACGGGAGCACCCGGCACGTCTTCCACTTCGGCACCGGTGAGTCCCCACGGCGGCAGGAGGGGAGCCAGGTGTGGGGCAGACACAGCCCAGCTGCCTGACCCCCACTGTCCCGTCCCTGCAGTGGCCCCCCAGATCCCCCAGGCTGGAGTGGCTGTCATGGCGGTGGCGGTCAGCGTGGGCCTCCTGCTGCTCGTCGTCGCTGCCTTCTATTGCATGAGGCGCAAGGGACGCCCTGGCTGCTGCCGGCGCGGGGAGAAGGGGGCTCCGTGAGTGGCCTGCAACCTCCGAGTGACCTCATATACCAGCCCTGTCTCCAATGCCCAGCCCAGCCCGGCCCATAACCACCCTCAAACCCATCCCCACAACCTGTCTCCAGGCTTGACCCAACGCGGGACCACGCCCATCTCCAGCCCCATCTCTCCCCTAGCTCCTCCTCCAAGTCCAACCTGTCACCTCCAGCCCTTCCCTGGCCACATCCCCAGCCCAGCCCAGGACTGTCACCAGACCCAACTTCAGCCACATCCCCCTTCCCATCGCTAACCATCCCGACCACAGGACCGCCCTCAGCGCCATTCCAGATCCGTCCCAAAGCCAACCCCGACAGCATCTTCAACCCTATCCCTGCCCCCTTTCCTCACCCCAACACCATTGCCACCCCTACGCCATCCCCAACCCATTCCCGCCCACCCCAGAGTCCATCCTGACCCAGCACAACCCCATCCTCACCTCCCGTCCCCAGCTCCCAGTCCCCAGCTCCCAGCCGTGACCACCCCCAACACACTGCCTCCTCCCCCCAGGCCACCTGGGGAGCCAGAGCGGAGCCACTCAGGGTCAGAGCGGCCAGAGCAGACGGGCCTTCTCATGGGAGGGGCCTCTGGAGGAGCCAGGGGTGGTAGCGGGGGCTTGGGAGACGAGGTAGGTGAGGGCCTGGGCCGCCTGGTGAGAGGGGACCCGCTGGACAGTGCAACAGCCCCCGGGCACAGGCTGACCTCCCCGTCTTCTCCCCAGTGCTGAGCACAAGGACCTCCTAGAGGCGGTCACTGGACGCGGAGTTGCAGGCATCAGACGAGCCGCCCTGCTCACGCCGGCCGCCCCCGCCTTCCCTCTCCCCTCTCCCTGCTCCGGCCCTCCCTTCCTTCCTCTGCTGGCCAGGCAGGGACCCACAGTGGGAGGGAAAGAGGGAGGGGACCTTCCTCCAGGGAGTGTGACTCTCCCAGGCCCCAGAATAGCTCCTGGACCCACGCCCAGGGCCTGGCCTGGGACGAGGTTCGAGGGTCCGCTGGCCGGGGCTATTTTTACCTCCTGCCTCCCTTGCCGGTCCCCCCACCTGACGTCCTGCTGCATAGTCTGACACTGGATCCCGCCCCCCATCATCTGCGGACACTGGAGTCTGGAATAAATGCTCTCTGTCACATTGACACCACCCTGTGGCTGGCGCCTCCTCTGGGGGGTGGGGCGGTGCAGGTGATTCTCCCTCCCAGCCTCTCCCTGTCCCCTCCCTGGCCGGACCTCCGGAGAAGCCCTGATGTCATGGAGAAAGAAATGAGAGAGAGAGAGAGAGAGAGAGAGAGAGAGAGAGAATGCACCAGGGCACAGAGGATGACTTAGCTGGCCGAGGGTGGAGGGGAGAGATGCCGGGGCCCAGAGGACACTGGGCCTGGCCCCTGAGGACCAGTGCCTGCCCGGGGGTGGGGTGCTGTCCCTTACGTAAAAGTTCCTGGTCTCTCTTGCCAGAGCCCTGAAGGGAATTGAAGCTGGGAGAGGAAAATCTCAGCCACGGAGCTGAGGGAATTGGGGCTGGAGCCACCTTCTCTGGGGAGGTCCCTGCAGTCGGGATTCCCTGGGGAAGCTGGGGTGGCTGAAGAATCCAGATGGAGGGGCCTGGGGCAGAGAGGACACGGACAGACTTTCTGAGCCCCAGGAAGAGGGATTTGAGAGAGGACGGAATGGCATAGGGGGAGGTAGGAGGAAGGGGCTGGGAAATTCCGAGATGAGAAGAGCTAGCCCTAGAATAAGACAGAGACAGAAAGAGATTCGGAGAGAGAGAGAGAGATAAGGAGAGATGCACAGAAGTGGGATCCAGAGAGATGGTTACAGCCAGAAAAAGAGAAAACGTTGTGAGCAGCGGCCCAGGAGCACTCCGGAGGGTGACAGAGGGTAGCAGGAGGTGGCCGCATGTGACTTGGGCCTAGTGACTTCGTCTCCCTGAGCCTTTCTTGCGCATCAAATGGAGACAAATCACGCTGGCCGGCAGGGGCGGTGCGGTGCTAGCCGGGGAGCCGGAGGGGACAGCGGTGTGGGGAGTGGGGTGCCCTCTGCACTCCGGCGCCCCCCACGGCCTCTCATCTCAGGTGAGTGACCCCACTCTCTACCCTCAGTTTGCTCAGCCACCAAGTGGACACAGCGGGATCTGTCCCTGTGGGAAATTGGCAGGAAGCTATAGAAGCCACCTGGTGACCAAGCAAAGCAGTCTGCCCAGCGCCCCAGGAGCCGAAGAGCTCAGGGGCCAAGCTAAGGCGCTCAGATCCAATGGTTTACTGAATCGTTTAAAACAAAAACGAGGTTCTTGTTTGCTTTTGAACTAACAGGTGGTAGGAGCTGCTCCTTAAAATTTTCACTTTGCAAACATTCATTCCTTGGTTTAACCCGCCACCACTATGACCGCTGTCTCTCACTCGTTCACCAAAAATTGGGCTATTTTCTGCCTTTTTTCTAACTTCTTGAACTGCTGGACCTCATTCAGGAAGTATCTGTGGGGTGCCTCCGCTCTGCAGTGTCGGCGTTCAGCGGAACATGAAGTCCCTGCCTTCGTGATGCTTATATTCTTGTGGACCAGAAAGGACAATGAAAAGGATAAACACATAAAAATGAGGTTAATTTAGATCCAGTTTTTTGGTTAAGACCATCACTTTTCTTCTGAGCACTTACTTAGCTAAATTGCATCATTTCTCAGATGTATTCTTTTGTATGTATAGACCCATTTTAAAACGTCAGCAACTAAAAAAAAAAAATTTTTAACAGCTTACTTCCCCTGAAAGTTCTAGTAATTCACACTCCCATCGGTGTGTATGAGAATGCCCATGATCCCATATTTTTGCCAACACTTGCAGTTGGCCTTCAAATTGTTGCTTGTTTCGATGGGCAAAAAAAAAAACGGCTGTTACATTTTTTTTTTTTTCTTTCTAATTTGGTCTTGAGGTTTCTCTCATGAGAGTGGCTATAAACTCTGGCCCTGCCCTGACTGGGATCCCGGGATCTGATCGTGGGTGTTTACTTTATCCTGGCGCGTGGCCCGATGCCTAAGTGTGTGACCTGCCACCAGGTGTCCCTGTCATAAGAAACTTGTTTGTGTTGGCGGATGCCCCTGTGGTTCTCGTCTGACCTGTGCCGAGTTTATTCCTCTCAGCATAGCCACACTCTAGGAAAGCCCTGACCGAGGAAGCAGTTAGGTTCAGGTGTGTCTGTCGGGTGAGACACAGAGGACCGTCTCACAGAGAGGCGAGATTCAACAAAACACATGAAATAACAGCAGCAGTTCGTTGCTTACAGATCTGGAGAGAAGAGGGCAGCTCGCCTCGCAAGGCCAAGGGGTGGCTGTTTCTAGCTGTTCCGTAGGGAGGGAGTCACCAGGAGCCGCTTGTATAAGGCAGATGTCTGGATCAAACGCATTAAGGAACTGGGAGTAGGCAGAGAACGGGAAGCTGTCAAGGGTGACTAAGCCCTGCTTCTAGAATAACAAAGTGAAACATTCTCAGAATGGATGCTGAGGCAACATCCAAGTACAGGAATTCACTACAATGACATTTTCATCTAGTTCTAATTTGGATTCTCTGAACTCTCCTGTGAAAATGGTGTTTCTCCATATGTTCGCGGGCCATTTGCTCTCCCTGCTTTGTGAATTGTCATACGCTCTGCCTACTTTTCGGTTCTTTACCTTTTCTTACTAATTTGTAGGTTATCTCTGCACAATAGGAATATTAACTTCTAGTCTTA